GGAGGGAGTTCCAGAATTTTGGTGCCATGTCGGAGAAGGCCCATATAGCTTCAGATGGCAGGGGAAACTGAAGCAGGGTCTCTGAATATGACCAGAGTGAGTGGGTAGGTTTGTACAGGAGAAGGCAGTCCTTAGGGTATATAGGTCCCAGGCCATACAGGGCTTTAAAAGTCAATACTAGTAGCACCTCAAATTGAGCCCAGAAGCCAATTGGAAGTCAGTATCGATGGAACAAGGCTGGAGTGATATGACCCCTACGACCCACTCCTAGGGTTGCCAGGTCTGGGTTGGAAAATACCTGAAGACTTTGGGGGTGGATCTAGGAGAGGCTGGGGTTTTGGAGGGGAGGGGCCTCAGCATGGTACAACAATGCCATAGAGTCCACCCTTCAAAGCGCCCATGTTCTCCAGGGGAGCTGATCTCTGTCAGCTGGAGATCAGTTGTAAAAATGGGAGATCTCCAGGCCCCACCTGGAGGTTGGCAACCCTACCCTCTCAAGTCAACACTCTGGCCACAACAGGCTAGTACCTGCAAGCTGAGAAGAAGCAAATGTCTTGTTGGGTCAGGCCCTTACTCTCTGGGACCAGGGGACTATACCCCAGAGTTCAGTAGCACTGCGTAGATTATCGGTACTCAAAACAGGAAGAGAGTCTACATACCTGGTCACTGACTGCGGTGCCATAACGCAGACGAGTGACGAAATGCTCGCAGTTCTGACAGAGTACGTTGTAGGCTATCACTCTCCCCACCTCTGCCTTTGCCCTGGCGATGATCTCATCCTCGGGGAGCGGCGGGAATCTTCCATCATACTTGTTATTGATTCTGTACTCATCGTTCCCCACCACTTCCAGAAGAGGCTCCTTCTTCACCATTGCATGGTCAGATATGACAGAACGAAGACTATAGAGGCCAGCTCCTGCGACCTCACCTGGAGAGCAGAAAAAACACATGCCCAAGGCAACTGTTCAGTCTAAATCGTCTGCATCCCATCAGTAAATCCATCTATACATTTTTGTCCTCCCAGGAGTTACAAAAAAAGGGTAGGGAGATTTTTCTGGTGGGTGATTTGGAAAGAACATCTTTTCGTGGGCATTTTGGAACAGAAATATTTTGATGTAATTAATATTTTGTTGCACTTTGAAGTTGTGCTGTTTTCTGAGCCAAATTTTCATGGTCTGTTCAGGCTGTCTCAGTGTTCCAAACAAATTGGAATGATTTGCTGTACATCAACATATAATACTGTGAATTCAAGGTGTCCAATGTCAAAGTATGGTTGCCAAGTCCCCCTGGGGGGCAGGGAAACCCCTGCCCGAGAGGCCTGTTCCCCGCTGGCGGGGTTTGGGCTGCCGGGGAGGACCCCACCCCGAAAACGTGCGACATGCCCGGTGTGAACACGTCACCTGGAGGTGATATAATTGCATCGGGCATGTTGTGGGGGGACGTTCTATCATCCGAGGGAAAACTCAATGGTTTTCCCTCGAATGATTGTGGCCCCACCCCCAACGTGCCCGACGTGATTACATCACTTCCGGGTGACATGACTGTGGCATCTGTGCTTTGCGCACGCACCAAAAGACGCCAGGAGACATCTGGGATTCCCCCCACTATTCCCGAGGTAGGGCTTGGCAACCCTATGTCAAAGTAATTTGATCAGCTGGCCGGCAGAGGGGCTTACCAGGAGAAAGAGGAAGGCCCAGGCCCTGTCACTGGTGCTGCACAGGAAGTAACACCATTATGCCAGTGACGTCCGGGCACTGCTCTGGTATTTGGGCAAAAACTCTATGGTGGAAGCCATTTTTACCATAGAGTTTTTGCCCAAATACTAAAGAGTCACAGTGAAGTCGCAGCATGATGCTATCACTTCCTGTGTGATGCCAGCCAGCAACGTTGCCTGGGCCTTCTTTCTCCTGGTAAGTCCCCCCATCCCCTGCCAGTTGCCAGGAGAGATCTGGCAACCCCAAGCACACCCCATGATTATACTGTATTTCTTAGCTAAGGAAAGTATATATTGTCACTTGTCATGACCTCCTCTGCCCAGCCCAGTGACTCAGGAGAAGAGACAGAAGAGGACCAGAGGAACCAGGCAGGGCCCAGCTTTGCAGACCTGCCTGCTGCCAATGTTCTGGCAGTCACAAGCCCCCCGCTAGAGCCTGTAAGGGAGACCTCGCCATCAGCCCCTGAAACAACCACCAGGCCTCCACCGGGCAGGCCCATAGACCCCCCCAGGAGACACTCTCGCTGCAGGAACAGCAGCAGCAGAAGGCCTGGGCCAAGGTGCCCCAAAGGAGGTGAAGTGCTCGAATGGCTGCAGGCATTGTCACTCCAGAACTAGGCACTGTGAGAACAATCATTCTTTGCAGGATCCTGGACAAAGCACAGTGCAGTGGCAGCAGCTTAACGCCTCCCAGGAGGGCAGCTGAGCCTGATTACTTCTCAGCCTATTTAGACTGAAGCTTGAGAAGGCTGCCTTGTTGGATTATCTGGCCCATTGGGTACAAGCCTGTGTGCCAGCCAGTGTGCCCTCTAAGCTGTGGAGTCTTGTCAGCAAAAATTCTACTTTGTGAGCTACCACCATTAAAGTTGTGAGCACGTGATTTCACTACTGCATAAGTTAGTTTGCTCTGGAGCCATCCTTCCTGTGTTGCCAGAGGCGCTGCCTTTACTCTTGGGTAGCCCAATAGCAGGGGCACCCCACTTCTAACCTGATCCAGAGACCCACAAAACTCAGGCCAAGGAAGGCACTCTTGATTCTGAAACACAGAGCTAGCCACAGCTCTGAAAAAGGGGTCTCCATTTTCAGGTGACAGGCAACCTCAGAGCAAGCCTCCAGTCTTCCCCCTCCACCCAGCAGAGATTATGCTTATGGAATAACAATGAGTTCTAGCAGGTAAAGTATCTACATTTCTAAAGTCTATTTAATTCTTTGTCTGAATACTTGTCTTTTCTACTCTGTTCCTTAAGATACCGATCAAGATCCTTCCTGGCCCTAATCAGGGACGTCTCCCACCTTTTGTTTACCCTGGCCAGGACCATTAGTGGTCAGATAATCCATTCAACTAGCCACCCAGCACCTGGCTTCTATTGTTAAATCCAGACCCTGCCTCTCTGAAAGCTCTTTGGTCACATCTAGGTCTTGCCCATCCTGATGCCACATACCCCTGGAAATCATCATTGGTCCAGGAAACCTATTGTTCTCACCTGAGACCAGCCCCCAGGACTGGCCATTGGCCTGCATTGTCTTCCATGGGGTATATCCCAGCGTAAACATGGCCTCAGACCGTGCTTTCTGCCATAATCCAAAATGGCAGTCCACCCCTAAGCTCTCTGAGTTTAGGCCACAATCCATGGACCTCTGCACATCTGGACAGGTTGTATCGCCCCTCTATAAGCTATCAATCACCTCTGCTTCCTTATAGTTCTATATTGTGTGTGTGAGTGTTTGAATATTGTTTGTATGCTTGAGAATGTTTAGTAAAGAAATCATTATTTTAGCCACCCAGTTTCTGTGTCTATTCCTGGGTTCTTGGGAATTCTAACTCTGGTATACACAGGTCAGATCCTATAGATAAGCCAATTGCATATTAATAATTCTAATTCCCCATCTTTATTAAATAATAAAGCAATTTGGCTAACACCTGAGCGAAGACAAAAATCTGTGAGCTGGAGGCAAAAAAATGGTGAGCTAGCTGCTCACACTAACTCAGCTTAGAGAGAACACTGGTTCTAGCTCCTGCTGCTCTGAGGTCTTGCAGCCTAGACCTGAGGGCACTGCTCCTGAGAAGACTGGGCTGGGCTGTCTTGAAGAGTGCAGGACACCACAGGGGCTACACTGGAATACTAGTGCTGGCATGGAATCTGCTGGGGAGGGGGGATTGGGAAAGGTCCTTAGTCGTTCGCTCCATAAATCTTGCTTTCTGCTCCTTAGTAGCAACGCCCTTACTTTCTGGAGCCAAGTGGACCACATATCCATCGCCTATGTAGATAGCCCAATGGTGATAGCCAGTCCGGTCAATCTCAATCAGGTCTCCACGTTTTGGCTCCACCTGCAAGAATGAACAGAAGCCTGAGACTCTGGGTGATTCTGCTTCTAGCATTCGGTCCACATTTTCTCAACACTGAGGAAAAGGTGCAGCTCAAAACCACATTCAAATACCCTGGGGCAACGCCCTGACTGCAAAGTCACCCCTGAACGGCCATAAATCTATGCAGAAGGTACCATAAAACCCAATGATCAGAGAAAGTGAAAGTGGCATGCAGTGTAGAAGGTACCATAAAATCCAATGATCAAAGAAAGTGAAAGCAGCATGGAATGCAGAGGGGGATTTCTGTTCCAACTTGGGTTTGGTAAAACAATGGAGGGAAAAGCCAATGCAGAATCACCCTTTTTCAACAGTAGGATCATCTCAGCTGTAGATACTAAACTGGGGGACTGCTTGTGAAAATTTCTGCATGGCTTGCCTCCATTGTGCCTGAGAGAGTAGGTGAGAGACAGAGAAGGAGGAGACACAGACAATCCTTTTGGGGGAGGCACACAGAGACAGCGCAGCATGTTAGCTAGCTGGCACCTCTTGCACTTTAGAGCACAAGATGAAGCTTTGACCTCTATCAGCAAGCTAGGAAAGAGATACAGGGGTGTGGCAAAATGCCTTACATCTCAGGATTAATGCTGACGTTTGTCACCTGGAAGGATAATTTTGGGGTTTGCACTCTAGAGGCACAGAGGCTATGAAGGATTCTTTCTTGACTGGCAGGAGGAAAGTGGGGGAACATGTTGGGAGGGGTGGCTACAGAGCCACCCATTGTCATAGAAATGCAGAATACCTAGCCAGGAGGATTATAGGTACCCAGATCCCCACTTAAGCCATAGTTGCACCTCACCTATGGAGCAAAGTGGACTTTCCTTCAGACAAGAAGGGAAAG